AGAAAGTAGTAGTAGTAGTAGTAGTAGTTAGTAGTCACAGTACTCATAGAGTATAGTAGTAGTAGAGTAGTTTAGTAGTAGTATAGTCTTGTTTATTATAGTAGTAGTATAGTAGTTAGTAGTAGTTAGTAGTAGTTAGTAGCAGTGGTAGTTGCATCAGGACGAGCAATGGTAGTCGTACTAGTAGTAGTAGTAGTAGTAGTAGTATTAGTAGTAGTAGTAGTAGTAGTAGCAGTAGCAGTAGTAGTAGTAGTAGTAGTAAAAGTAGTAGTAGTAGTAGTAGTAGTAGTAATAGTAGTAGTAGTAGTAGTAGTAGTAGTGGTCGTAGTAGTAGTAGTAGTAGCAGTAGCAGTAGTAGTGGTAGTAGTAGTAGTAGTAGTAGTAGTAGTAGTAACAGTGGTCGTCGTAGTAGTAGTTTCCGTACAAATAGAAATCGCTGATGTAATCTTAGACGTAGTAATAATAGTAGTAGTAGTAGCAACAGCAGTAGTAGTAGTAGTAGTAGTAATTATTTTAGTCGTAGCAGTAGGTGTAGTAGCAGTAGTAGTAGTAGTAGTAATAATAATACTAGTCTGGTGTCTGGTGCCTCGTGTCTGGTGTCTGGTGTCAGGTGTCTGGTGTTTGGTGTTTGGTGTCTGGTGTTTGGTGTTCGGTGTTTGGTGTTTGGTGTTTGGTGTTTGGTGTTTGGTGTTTGGTTTTGGTGTTTGGTGTTCGGTGTTCGGTGGTTGGTGTTTGGTATTGGGTGTTTGGGGGTTGGTGTTCGGTGTTCGGTGTTTGGTGTTTGGTGTTTGGTGTTTGGGGGTTGGTGTTTGGTGTTTGGGGGTTGGTGGTTGGTGTTTGGGGGTTGGTGTTTGGTGTTTGGGGGTTGGTGCTTGGTGTTTGGGGGTTGGTGTGTGGTGTTTGGTTTGTGGTGTTTGGGGAAGGCGGGAAACCTGTGAGGGTCTCACCTGGAGAAGTAACCGACCCAGCATTTGCCTCATTCCACCAGGAGAAGTAACCCTTTTCCCGGAGAAGTAACAATTTTCCCGGAGAAAGACGTGTTCCCCATCCCCTCCGCGCCCCTCCACCCACTAGCCAGAGACCCCCCCCGCCCCGACCCCTTCTTATTTCGGCACGGCACCGCCCCCCCCCAAAAATCCCGCACGCCCCCTCCACATCGCCCCACCCACCAACCAGCGCGCCCCCTCCGCCCAGACTTTTCGGCACAACACATCCCCCCATCCCGAACGCCCTCTCTGCACCGCCCCGCCCACCAGCCAGCGCGCCCTCTCCGCCCCGATGTGTTTATTTCGGCGCGGCACCGCCTCCCTCCATTCCCGCGCGCCACCTCCGCATCCCCCCACTCGCCAGCCAAAGCG